GGTCTTATAGGTACGTGGCACCCAACCGATACATCTATTTTTCTATTTTTTTGAAAGAAAAGTTTGAAAATTTACATTGGAAGTTTATCTATATCCCTATTTTTTTAGGTTTAATAGCAACTGTTGTTGGATTTAGTGTTGGAGTGGCATTCTTTCCTTGGTCACAATACGATACTTCCTTTGATGCCATCGGTTGGTGTCTTATCGATTCAATCGATCTTTCTAGGCTTTTAAAGGATTTTGGAAAAGTTAAAAAGGAAAATGAACAACGTCTGTTTATAAAAACCAAAAGTATTTTACTGCTGATCTATTGTTCTTTGTGTATAAGGTGCAATTCTCCCATTTGTTCCGATTATTCTTTTTTTTTCAGCGCTTCTGGGATTCATCATCTTCTTAGTGTCTGGAGTGTGCGTACATTACATGCTGATACATGCAATTCGATTCGTTAAGGTAATTTTCTATCTTAAAAGTAATTAGAAAAATTAAAATAAAGAAATCAATGACATAATCAGCTAAAGGGTTCCATATGAATCAATTCTTTCAGCTGACGAATTTTCGATGTATAAACAAATTGCAACAAGATAATGCGAGAATTGGAGCATTGTCTCTGCTTCAAAAATTATTTTACCATTATTTCGAATTTCTCATGTCTAAAATGAATGGGATGCGCCCGCGTGCGTCGAGAAAATACTAGTATTTGATCTTTGCTTGCAAAAGTTATTTACCAGTTTTTTTTCTCTAGAAAACATAAGCAAAGGCCTTGCTAATAGACTAATAAGTTCAATTTTGCCATATAAAGCTTGAAATGGAAAAAATGATTTGTTTTTAAAGTGGGCATTCTTATTCTATCCTCTCCTTATTTTTCCAACAAACTCGATATCAGAGTACTTTTTCTGAATTATTAGATAAATTAAATCGTTATATTAATGAGTTAAAGTTCCTTATTCTCTTATTGTTTAATAGTGAAAAATTAAAACTGTAGTCTTCTCTCCATTGCGCAATGCGTATTAAAAAATGGAACAGCGCAGAACACAGGCTACTGTATAAGCTTTAACAGTTTTAAAAGAAGTGTATATCATTTTAGATAGGGAGATAACATGTTTTATTCATTACTTTTTTAAATTCCAAAAAAAAATTAAAATGAAGTTCGTAAAAAATCATTAATTGAGTGGTATAGGAGGCGTCCAAACCACGCTCATGTCACGCCCATTTTAGACCAATTTTTCTTTCACGTTATCTTTGGGGAAAATTCAGCCAGTCACTGATAGTTATATAAACTAATAATTTGTTTAAACCAGATTTTTCGTACTAACTCTTTACTGGCATTTAGCAGCTAATACCACAGTCTGGGAACAATTTAATTTAAAAAAATTTCCAGTTCCGGTTAGTGATGCCTTTTCTCATCTACCATGCTTTCTTAATCTCATTGAACGCGATAACTGGTTTGATAGCCATCGGCGAACTAGTAGCGGATCAGGTGAGCTTTAGTATATAATACCATATTTTAAAAACTATAGAACTTTCCTATAAAGAATTCTTGTTTAAGGATAAATTGTACCCATTTTCTTTACAGACACCTCAATTAGACATTGGTGACATCACTGCACGAGGTGTTTTGCTGGTGGTACCGATAATAAGCTGTATACAAGCACTGATGCTTGTAATTATCGCAAAAGTTCGAGTATACCTCAGAGATAAACGTCGCCATATACGTAATGGTCTCCCACCTGTAAGTACTACTGTCTCAATAGGAAAGAGTATCTAATAGTAACTGTTCTTTTACAGCCAATTCGAGAAGTTATCCTGCCAGGGAATGTTCCTTTTGTAAATAATCACAATAAGGTCTACGTGGAATCTTCTCTAAGCACTCAGCGGGCATGCTCAACGCAAGATATAACAAATAGCAAGGAATGATTGATTCGCCGAATTGAAGATGTTCATTATTGATTGTGCAAAGTTCATGACGGGTATATTGTATAGTTTCTATGATTTCACTTTTTCTGCCAAAATTTGAAGCAGTCTATGGTTTCTATATCTGCTGCTCTGTAGCTGGTGATGTTCATGTATATAAATAAATCATTTTTCTTATAGATACAGTTAAAAGAGGAGTTTAACACCCAGAAGAAACACCATATCTTTCCTAATTCGAACTTTCTGTAACCTTCCAATTTCTCTTCTATTTTTTGAACAACCAGGCTTGTTCAGTCTCCGTTTCCTCTTAAAATAAAGTACCACTACAATTTTTATAAGAAATAATCGCAAATAATTCTTTGGTTTTTCAAATAGGTTGGGTGTCTATTTTTGCAGAAC